TTACTCGTGGATGATGTTCAAAGCTGAGGAGAGTGAGAGCTTAAATCTATAAAACGGGTCAAAAAAACTTTTGATATAGAAAACTGTCATAAATTCTTCAGTTAATTGAAAGAGGGCAAGTTGTACAAAAATGCCATGGAGCTAAATATACATGGAGAAGAAACTGTGATGTCACACAGTTAAATTCAGTATTTGTGTCAGAATTGTGGCAGAATTGTGTTCTTATAAGTTATCATATGTCGGGGATTTTCAGAGATTTGATGCATCCTGGGTAAAAATAGCCAAAAACACCGTCATATTGAATTCCCGGAGGAAGATGAAAACATTTTTTTGCTTAAATAAGAAGCAATAGTTATTTATTGTAAAAGGTACTATACACACTTTTCTATACAAAATATTTCTCTGATGAAAATCTATGTAGGGGTATGTAAACAATAATTTCATGGATATCGTCCAAGTTTAACGAGAGTGCGAAAATTGGAGACTATCGGAAAACCCAATTATCACCGAAGCCTGCAAAGGATTGTGGGTCTGAATCTGACTATTATCTATTTTTAGAGCTTCCATTCTGTTGTGTGTATATATATCTGTTAAAATGCAAAGAAGTCGTTGGATTACCCAAGATCAACATTTCATTTGATTACCAGAGATCATCAATTCACTGGATTACTGAGATTCTCTGTATGAAAGATTTGATGACAAGAAAATTATTAAACCGGCAAAAATGGATCTTACAGCAAGGATTTACTCATTTCAGAAGACAGCAATAGAAAATGTAGGAGTTGCATGTAATACTGGAGGTTTCTTGCGTCATGTTTTGTACTGTTTCAGTGACATTTCTTAGACTGTTTAAGTGATGTCCCTCATTCAATCAGTTAAGAAAATGATGAAAAGCAAATTAAAATCTAGGGGTGACCTAGTCAAGTATTTAATGTTTTAAAATTTTAGTGGGTAAATTCAAAGAGGGGGCACATGTTACACATTTTAAAAAAAAGGGAATTTTAAGGTTTAAATGTTATTGCCAAAGCTCATGCCCTTCCAATAATACCCCTAATATATCTAAAAAAGTGTTCTAAAACCCAAAATTTTTCAAAAAAAAAAAATTTAAACTGTTAAAAGGGAAAAAATTTGTTTATAATTTCAATTTATTTCTTTTTATTAAAAAATTTAATAGTTTTCTTTTAAAGGGCTGAAAGTTTTTAAACCTTTTTCCATTTTAAATGGGTTTAAAAGTGCACCCTTTTAGTTTTACAAACAGTACAAATGTGCCCTTTTGTTAAGTAAGTTTATGTTGCCCTGTTCCAAAAAGGATCTTGTAAATTTTCGCAATTTTTTTGTAATGATATTCTTTCAAAAAAATTTATTATTTGATTTTATCTATTCTCTCCTTTCGAGTGACCCTAAGTAAACAGTAAAGTCCAGCTGTGTCCAAGTCATACGGGCAAGGTGCTAGGAATTTCCAAGTACAATGCAATCCTAGGGCTATTCCAGCCATTCCTTAGATCATGGAAAATACCCCAAGGAACATTGGGTATCCCAAGTTCTTTGAAATGCCAAGGAAAATTACATTAGAACAAAAAATGTTCCAAATTACCGTGGGCAAGTCATTCTCAAGTCATTTTCCTAAAGATTATAAAAAATAACCAGGAAGTTACTGGTATTAATCCATAGGGGTCTTTTGAAATGCCTTTAAAGAATGCCTGGGGATGCGACTAGAAAAAATGTTCCAAATACCAGGTGGGCAGGTCATTCTTCAGTAATTAGGATTATCCAGTAACAAGTCAATCTAAGGCATTCCTGGAAATTCACATTTTTTTTCTAGTTAATTACCAGTAGTTTTCAGGTCGTTCCAAAAACCCCCGCCAATAAATGGAAATTCCATCAAAATTTTTCCTTGCATTCCAAAGGGAAAAATCCTTTTTAAAAAATTCCTGGATTTCCCCAATAAAATCCTAGTAAAAACCTGGTAAATTACCATAAATTTCTGGGCCCAAAGGGAAATGAGGATTTTAAGTGAGGGCAAAGCAGAGAAACCCATTTCGGAAACAACCATCCCGAGGGGTTTCCCCTGGGGTCCCCGTGTTTTTTCTTAGGGGAAAAAAAGTACCCCTTAAAAAAATCGTTAAAAAACCATTTTCTTTTTTAAAAAGTAATTAGATCAGATTCACTGTACAGAAGTGCTGAGAGGCCTGGATCAGATTGTATGGAAGTGCAGTATGACTCATGCGCTAATTAGATGCACTTGTAAGGTTGACAACATAATGTGCATAACAGTAACATTATAATTATGATAATTTCGGCCAAATGCAAAAGATCCAACTACACATTGTATATATCAATGCAATTTTTTCTGTTTCGTCACTTTTGACGGGTTTTTTTTGTGTTGAAGAATAAGAGTTGTTTAGTACACTATTATATTGTATATCAATTTAGAAGATGTCATAAAAGTAAATCATATTCTAAAACAAAGGTTATTACACTTAACACCTGTGTACACAGTCTTTCTTTTTATATACATTATGTCATAAAAATGTACAAAGCATAATAAATTTTGCTATAAAATAATATATAAAAGTATACATCTAGGGAAAGATAACCATGCTGATTGGAAGAATATTTAAGCAAAACAAAATTGCCTCCCTTGTATAAATTTGGACATTCTTAACAGTATTTTTTTTCGACAAATTCAATAGTTAAGTAATGAGCCTATATATATTGTATTTATCACATACCCAAAATCAGAACAGTTTACAGTGAATTTGTCAATTTTTTTATCTAACACGCTTATTATTACTAAGCAAGACTTAGTGTTTATGCTACATTTAACGGTAACACATGACATTAAGTCGAAAGATATTCATAGTAATCTATAAAAAAAAAAGATGTATATAGCCTTTTCCTCTCCCACAATTCCTTTAAAGTTGCAGAGGGTGAGCAGAAAAATGAAGAAGAATGAAGAACGTTAATGGCTCTGAAAATATTTCTAATCTCTTAAGTTGCCCTAATTTCAAAGGATTTTTTCTTGTCATAATTATCAAATCTTTTCATAATTATCAAATCTTTTCATAATTATCAAATCTTGTCATAATTATCAAATCTTGTCATAATTATCAAATCTTTGTCATAATTATCAAATCTTTTCATAATAATCAAATCTTGTCATAATAATCAAATCTTGTCATAATTATCAAATCCTTGTCATAATTATCAAATCTTATCATTATTATGAAATCTTTGTTACAAATTATCAAATCTTTGTCATAAGTATCAACTCTTGTCATAATTATCAAATCTTTATAACAAATTAGCAAAATAAGTTATCAAAACATTCTAAGTAATCATGCCATAATAACTATACACATATTACAAAATTCTGAAATCGCAAACTTACCTAAACATCAAAATATTCAAATATATTCAGCACAACCATAATATTCCGTTTAGCATATAAAATTAAGTTATGAATTTTAATAAGAATATGGTGAATCTTATACAGGTAATTTAAAGCAACTTTGGTCTCGATTTCAGCAGGTATAACCTCCATTCAAAGTATTAATCTCCAAAGATGGGTATTGTAATTCTGTAAGTTAAAGGTACCTCACCTAATGTTACAGCTGGGAGAATGATTGTCAATGATTGTGGCTTGCTATAAACCAGCATACATAAATTGTCAAAAATTTGAAATTGCACTTTATAAACATTAATTGTTTTGTAATTAACTTTAAAATTATTCTTACTCCCTAAATTTAATTTATTGACCTTTGGTTTTTTTTCAGTTTTTTTTAAACTACAAATATAACAACTACAGCTACTATTATTTTTTTTTAAACTTTAACTATCCTATATGCTCCTGCAATTTAAACTATCATTAAACATCTCTACTGCACCAACATAAGCCTAATTTAGACTTCTTATTGCTTTTAATATTTAATAATGGATCACAATCGACTAATTATTCTAAAATAACTGATTGAAATCAGTTCAGGGTGGCTTATCCACATGACTTTTCAACAAAGTCAACTGCTAACAATTTCATTCAAATTAAGACTTCAAAGTTTCTCAACTGATTCCGTCAATGATAATTTCTGAACAAGTTGGAAAAGACAATGAAAAAGCAAGATAAGTAACAGCAGAAGAATGTCTTAATTTTCTATGTATTATAGTGAAGAATTTACACATTGGAAGAAAATCCAGTATTACAAATGACATTTTTTCAGCTAAACGCCTTAGATTTTTTCGTTGTGCACTTTGCTAAAAGATCATATGGATTTGCCACCCAACAGTTTTTATAAAATAAAATAATATACTAGTATATGATCTTTTTTTTACTTTCATCACTTAAAAATTATATTGTAATATACAACAGTTCATTTGCATAACAGAACAAATTCAAACAAATTAATTCTTAGTACTTTCCATGACAAAAATATATCAATTTATTTTCATTAATATCTATAAACTTCTTTGCACATAGCTGTCTTCAGTTTCACAAAAGTGACTTACATGTTTTCAAAGTTTTCACCTCAAAGCAACACCCACCTTTAACGTTTGGACATGATACCCATATTATGGTGGGGATTACTTACATATAACTAGAGCCTCGGGCATGGCAAAACCATATCATTATTTCATGCTTGAATATGTAATTTTCTTCCATCAAAAGCAGTGAATTTAAGTACATTTGAATTTTAATGGGTGTTTTTCACTCATTTTAATACATTAATTATGTACTCTGTCCCAATTTGTTTCATGTTTTATTAGAAAGTTAACATAAGTTAAATGAGCAATTGTAAGTTCAAGCATTTAAATGTCGCTAATCAAGTACATTATAATTATTTGTATTTTGATAAATCAAGCAAATAAAACATAAATTTCAAGTTCTTATTTAAATCTTATAATCACATGCTTGTCAACTTGATGACTTTCATTTTTTTTCCCTATACAAGAATCAAAATAGAAAATATCAAGCAATGCAAATAAGGTATAAAAAAGAGACCTACCTTCACTGGATTCATTCAGTTTTGATTTACGCATTGAACTTTTGTCTTTACGTCTTTTGCGACTTCCCTCGCTCATAGCCGATGACGATGCACTTTGATCACTGTCCGTCCCGAGTCTATGAGCATCAGTTTCACGTGTGACGAACCTCCGTCTTTCGGAAAAATCCGACGCATCTGACGTCATCCCACTCGTTAACTCGGTCTGACTGATGTTTGCAGCATTATCGGAAACATTCCTGTGAATATTCGCGCTATAAAGCATTTCCGAAACTGACGTTGAAGATTTTTGAATTCCCGAAGCACTACTTGACTGGTATTCATTTTCGTTTTGTTTTTTATCAAATCGTTCTCTTGACTGGTACACAGACTGAACTTCCTGTTTCGAGACTGGTTTATCGTTTTGTATGGTTTTTGTACCAAGACTAGAGACACTTTGATGGGAAAGCTTATCACTGGATTTCTCTTTGGATGATTCCTGACTACGGACAGCTGGTGTCTTTTGCTGTACTGTTGTGGTGCCACTGCTGAAAATATATTCATAGAGAATAACATAGCAAGAAATCTTGAGTGGCTTTTTTAACTGGATGAATACAATCTAAGCAAAGTAGTAAAAAGGTGAATGGCAAAGGCTCATTAGCTCTCCACACAGGAATCAAGGCCCAAGCCAATCTCACTCCAGGTGTGGTCACGCAGCCATCTATTTCCCATACATGGCAAAGTTATTGCTGAGTAAAATAAGTGGCATTAAAACTAAACAATATAACATTACTGTCTTCATAATGAAAACAATTATAAACAGGTCTGAAAACGAAATATTTCAGTTAACCAAGTATCTAAAAATTTCATATCTTTAAAATTGCATTTCATTTTTGAATTGGGTGAAAAGATGATTCAATATAATTCAACCACTTTCAATAAACAAAAATTATTATCCTTGAAACTAGCTTAAAATGACCAAAGGACAAAATTGCATGCATAATTAATGCTTTACCTGGCCTTTTGAATAATTAATGCTTTATACCTGGACTTTAATGTTACTTAATTATTCTAAAATCTTCTATTGTTTTGTAATGGAGAAATAAGATAGGATAAAGTTCACACTGAGTGACAATCAAAGGGCTGATATATTTCAGTACTATTACGCTGAAAAGTTCCCATGAAATGTACATGGATAATAAACTATTGTTAAAGTAACACCTACATTTACAAGAAACAAAACCACCTTATTATCAAGACTGTTACAAATAGCCAATAACCTGAATTCAAACAGTGCCTATACTGTCAATATTATAAAACAGATACTTTGAAATTGAGATAACATTAAATTAACAAACACTTTCACTGTGTGATAAAACAACATTAGAAGAAAATTTACACATCTTTGTGAATAAAATGTTTTTTAACAGCATTTTTCTTTCAAAATTCATACAAAATTGGATTTTTTTAAATAACGAAACTGTAGGTTTTGTCAAAAATTTGATTAAAACATAAATAAATCTATGATGGTGACAAAACCCCTGTAGCTAATAAAGATAAACTAAACAACTGAGTAGACACTTCATGGAACTAACCTGAGTACTGGGGTCATACGAGGAAACATGGTTGCGGCCCCATTAGGACTCGAACCGACTATCTCCTGGCTGAGAGACCGAGACCATAACAATAAATGTCACAAATCATATAATCACAAAATGGTATAAAGAAAGTCAATCCAATGCTGAAAAAATTCCTACTCAATTGATATAATAAAAATTATATTTCACGCTGAATCACATAAAAACTTTCATGTATACTTTTAACAAATTCAATTTAAGATTTTTTGAAATGATTGAAATCACTTTTATCCTGTAAACTAATAGGACTGACACATTTTAGTTACTTTCACGCATAAAAACTACCCGTGTATACTTCACGCTATAAACTGTCTTTAATTCAAACTGAGCTCGATACGGGAAGGAAGTATCATATACGACGGTTTTTATACGGTTAACACATTTTGGTTTAATATCCCATTTAAGCGAAAAGGAGATTTTTACATCAAAAATTACATTTTGTCGCATCAGCTCTAAACTGTTCTATCTCATTCTTAATTAATAACATATTTACAATAGTTTAGCTATAAGATTTTTTACCTTGTGCCCGTCTGCATACCCATTCATTAAAAGTATTAATCTTAAATAAAAACATTGTTAGTCAGACAGAAAAAAAGTCAACCCATGATTGGATAAGTAAGTAAAGTCATAGAATACAGCTTTGTACAATCTTTGATGTGCCTTCTTTCTTTTTTTAAATTAATACTAAATGCATTCCCATGGACTTGGCCTATGATTCATTTATGTATTAAAGGGACTCCACTGAAGTGTTTCAACATTTCAAAACCAGAAATAACTCTTTAATGGTCTAGACCTAAACCGAATGTAACATTAATCTCGAAAAATTATTTCTAGCCCAGTCATGTCAAAAAACCTGAGAGAATTAAGAAAGAATACAAGAACTAGTTGATGCCCCTGCTATTCAAGGACCTGCTCAACATGGCCCGACAAGGTTTACTGTAATTGCCACTGTTTGGTATGGTCCATCATAAATAGCCCTTACCATAAGGGACAGCCTAACCATAAGGGACACCCTTACAATAAGGGAAAGCTATACCATAAGGGACAGATTTACCATAAGGGACAGCCTTACCATAAGGGACAGCCTTACCATAAGGGACAGCCTTACCATAAGGGACACCCTACAATAATGAAAGGCTTTACCATAAGGGACAGCCTTACCATAAGGGACAGCCTTTACCATAGGGGACAGCCTTACCATAAGGGACAGTCTTACCATAAGGGACAGCCAAAACATAAGGGACGGCCTTACCATAAGGGACAGTATTACCACAAGGGACAGCCTTGCCATAAGAGGCAGCCTTGCCATAAGGGACAGCCTTGCCATAAGGGACAGACTTATCATAAGGGACAGCCTTTCCATAAGGGACAGCCTTACCATAAGGGACAGCCAAAACATAAGGGACGGCCTTACCATAAGGGACAGTATTACCACAAGGGACAGCCTTGCCATAAGAGACAGCCTTGCCAAAAGGGACAGCCTTGCCATAAGGGACAGACTTATCATAAGGGACAGCCTTACCATAAGGGACAGCCTTACCATAAGGGACACTCTTACAATAAGGGAAATTTTCCCATAAGGGACACCCTTACAATAAGGGACAACCTTACCATAAGGGACAGCCTTACTATAAGGGACAGCCTTACCATAAGTGACAGTCTTACCATATGGGACAACCTTACCATAAGGGACAGCCAAAACATAAGGGACGGCCTTTCCACAAGGGACAGCCTTACCATAAGTCCTACCATAAAGGACAGTCTACCAAAAGGGACAGCCTTACCATAATGGACATCGATAGATCCTTACCATAAGGGACAGCCTTACCATAAGGGACAGCCTTACCATAAGGAACAGCCTTACCATAATGGACAGTACATTTTAACAGCATTTTCCTTATCACTGATCAAGGGAAGTAAATGTCAACAAAAATGGATTCACCAATTTATACAAACCAGCCTTTGGCAGCATGTGTCAAACTTTCTTTTATAGTGGGACTGTTGAAGTGAGCTTAAATCTGTACTCTTTCTGCCATTAAAAGTTTTTTGTTGCAGTTACTAATTATGTAATATAAATATAACAAGTTAACTTGGAGGGGGGGGGGTTATTCTGTCTTTTTTCCTTCAGATGTTGATGAGGATACATATTGTACCATGCTCCTAGTATCACCCTATAAACCCCAATACAATATAGTATCATTAGTTGATATACCTGGTACAATATAGTAGTATCACCATAACCTTTCTGTACTGACTATTTATTATCTTATACCTTAAGGTAATTTTTTCTACATTACATCCATCAGCTGGAGATAATTGGTTTTGCATAATAAACCTTTTTATGTCTACATTGTGCCTTAAACATAATTTTCTATGTTTAGCAATGATACAATTATACAATGACATAGGTAAATAAACACACATCATTGTTAAGTGATAAACATATGTTTTTTGTTTCCTAACATAAGCAAATCAATTGTCTATAGGTATCAATAGTTTGGTAACATATCTTGATAAGTGATTTATTCTGGCAAGTCTAGAAGCTTATTATCCTCTCAGGATGTAATTCTCACACTTTTAATTCCAACTATTCATCCTGCACAATAAAATGAAACCCACTTACAGGCGCCCCCTTTGTCCCCCTCCTGCAGTCCCCCACTTTCCTTCCTCTATCAATATAGCTATGCACTTACAACCTTGATCTATCCCCCACCCCAACTCCAGTCTCCTAAATTTAATTACAAGTGTGAAACACCTTATGATAAAGCCCCATCTCACTTACAACCTTGATTTCCCCCCACCCCCATCCCTACCCAAACTCCACCCCACACCCTTCTACATAAGCAATCTTATCAACCTTTATCTCCCCGCATCCACACCATCACCTTTCTACATAAGCCATCTCACAACCTTTATCTTCCTCCCATCCACACCCCAGACCCTTCACCTTTCTACATAAGCCATCTCACTTACAACCTTGATCCCCCCACCCCACGACATTATTTTTTCACTTTTGTTATGATAAAACCCTTTCGAGACTAATGGCATTAAAACACATTGCTACCCACTTACAACCTTGATCTCCCCCCATCCCACCCCATCTACATTTAACAAATGTGATGTGATAGATCCATTTCCAGACCCATGGCATAAAATCATATTGCAGAGAAGAATTGTTTATGTTCCAATCTTTTCCTCCTTTCCCAGTTATCATACATGAAGAAATCAGATGCTTTCCTACTTAGATTTACAGAGAACAAGTGTTTGTGCCAAATGTTTCTTGACTTTGTTTTGAGTAAATTATCCAGGAATCAACTGACTGGTGAATCAAGTTCACTGTTGTTGTGTATATAAGATCTATATATATTACAGTAATTCATGAATGTATTTCCCTAAGTTCGTTTTAGTGAGCCTATTTCCACAATTTCTAACTCTCTGGTGTCTGCAGGTGGGTAAAAAAAGATTTGAGCTTGGCATCCCATTAGTCCCCTACCATCTTCACACCTATCATTTCAGTTACTTATTTTCTAGGTTACATTGGTACCTTAATACATGTACTGAAATCCCTTACACTTTGAAGAGAACTGTTGCTGGGCAAAAACTATAATATTGTTTCATAAATTTAGCAGTTGAAACGAGGGTATTTTGTATCATACTAGGACTCCCTAGCACAAACAGGTACCTCAGGCATGCATTTTTTTTGGCAATATTTAGCAAGCACTCATGATAACTATGTCTTTTTTGTCCCTTATGGGATACACAGTGATGCACCTATATCTAAATTATATTAACCATTGTTCTATTCAAAACTACTATTTTACTAATCTAGAGTCTTATTTATGGACCCAGCTCTATGCAGGTCTGCAGCACCTCAGAGGACTGGCCATATGTGTACAAATCATAGGAACTCTGGAACAGGACCGCATATTGCGGTGCATAAATCCGAATCAGTACCGGCTATACATATTGTTTGTCCGACCTTTGAATATCTTTTCATATTATTCGAGCGGGTGGTCCTTAATTATCTAATCTCAATGTAATATAATCTGCTAATTTAAAAATCTGTCAAATTTACGGTATATTGAAAAAAGAAAAGGAGTGACATCCGCCATTTACCGCAACGTTCGGCTTAAGTTATCCCCCTTGATATGCTTGATTTTTGTTTTAATTTTTCTAGTAATGAATACCAGATGAGTGCCTAAAATATTTATCTATGGATCATGTTTTAATATTCCTTTTTTCAGTTAGGCAAAATCAGTTGGAACATATTACTAAAGTGTCTGTTTTCTCCATGTTAACAAATCAAAACACGAATACGCCCGTTATAATGCCGCCTAAACATGTCAACACGTGTAAACAATAAACCGTTAACGTTATATCCGGACGATACCTGATAGTTGACAAAAATAACGGGAACAAAATTCTGAAAAAAAAGTAATCAATTGTAGCCAAAGGGGAAAAACCCATGCCGAAAACGTTGCGGCGAATGGCGGATGTCACTCCTTGTCTTTTTTTATAATACCGTAAAAATTGACCAGTTTTAAAAGAGACAGATTGGGTTCAATTGATAATATATTTTTTGAGTCCATACACTCGGATAATACTTAAAGATATTTAGATGTAGCAGAAACGTTTTTAAAAACCGTTACACGATCGAAAATATGCGCCGCAATCTGCAATCCCGTTCTCGAGTTCCTATGGTACAAATTAGACCCAAGTAGACACACATTGTTTGCCTTGTTATAATTTTCACCAATTTCCTTGTTAACTTACTAGTAATAACAAATTTCTCTGCATGTGACCAACAAACTAATTTCATATGAATTCTAAATCATTGGTGAGAGAAAAATGACCATTAGACGCAATGTCCATTTAAGACTTAATGTTCGACATCAATGCCCGACATCAACTGACTGTAACAGAGAAATTTTGCCTTGACCAAGGATAGAACGATGAGTGACCCCTGGATTACAAATCAGAAACACTCCCTATTGGGCTAATCAGACAGACTCCTTATTATCAAACTAGAACTCCGCGAGTCGGATGTGTCGCCTTGTGAACAATGTAGTTTAGGGGAAATGGCCAAGACAAAAATGAAATATGAAAAATAACAAAGGGCAATAACTAAAAAAATAATAAGTGCAGAGCAGCAGTTTCTGTACACTGCACTTCTTATCAATAAGATCTATCATTCTATGATGTTTCAAGTCCATAGCTTTCATACTTGAGGAGAAATGACCAGGACAAAAATAAAGTAAGAAAATCAACAAAGGGCATTAACTCAAAAATAAGAAATGCAAGGTATCAGTTCTTATGCACTGCACTTCTTTTTAATGAGATCTATCATCCTATGAAGTTTCAAGTCCATAACTTTTATACTTTCAGAGAAATGGCCTGGACAAAAATCAAGTATGAAAATTAACAAAGGGCAATAACTCAAAAATTAGGAAGTGCAGAGTACTGGTTCTTGTGCACTGCACTTCTTAATAATGAGATCTATCATCCTATGAAGTTTCAAGTCCATAGCTTTTTTAGTTGAAGAGAAATGGCCCGGACAAAATTAAAGTATGAAAATTAACAAAGGGCAATAACTCAAAAAATAAGAACTGCAGAGTACCGGTCCTTGTGCACTGCACTTCTTCTTATTGAGACCTATCATCCTATAAAGTTTCAAGTCCATGGCTTTTATACATTAGGAGAAATGGCCCGGACAAAAATAAAGTATGAAAATTAACAAAGGGCAATAACTCAAAAATTAGGAAGTGCAGAGTACTGGTTCTTGTGCACTGCACTTCTTAATAATGAGATCTATCATCCTATGAAGTTTCAAGTCCATAGCTTTTTTAGTTGAAGAGAAATGGCCCGGACAAAATTAAAGTATGAAAATTAACAAAGGGCAATAACTCAAAAAATAAGAACTGCAGAGTACCGGTCCTTGTGCACTGCACTTCGGGTTATTGAAAGAAGCATGCATACCAAGTTTGAAGTCAATCAGACTTATAGTGACTGAGTTATGCTCCGGACAAGCTTTAGGGGACGCCGACGACGACGCCGACAACGACACAGACGCCGCCGCCGACACCGCCGACAAAAGTAACCCCTATATGTCACCTTTTCAAGGCGACACAAAAACTATTGTGTAAAAGAATTTTGTCTCCTAATAGCAATATGTATTAATGGCAGAGAAAATAATGCTTTTTTTAAATAATTATTAATTTCTAAATTGACAATAAAAATAAACAATATTTACCTGTCATATCCAAGTAGGCTAATCAAATATGTGAAGATTAATCCGAAAGAATAATTCCATAAAAGTTTGAATAAATCCACAACAGTCATCCCCATGGCTTTTGATTAATATTTAAATTGTTAACTGTTCAATTTTCGTAACACATATCGTTTCTCTAGCCTGTCTTAAACATGTCATCTTGTGTGATATTTTAACACACTTTATTCATTCTGCTTTTAATCATATCATATCTAAAAACCATATGCAAAAAAATAAAATTTAAAATTTGGCAACCACTGCCATCCATATTATGCAATCCTATTGTTCAACTAGATTTACAAAAATAACCCCAAATCATTACATTCAATGCATTTAACCTTCAACCTTTCAATGCATCGACTATATTAGCAACATTCTTGTTGAAACTGTACCTTGTAATTTAAAACCCCTATCACTTGACGTATTGACACTTCATATTACGAAAGTTCGTTAGAAAAAAAATCGTAACCCTATAACGAAACTTAATTTTTTTTCACTGTAACTTTTCTTCATCAGTTAATATGACAGCTCGAGTAAGAAAAGAACCTTAAAGCGTTTCCAAACTTAACACCCATTTAATGTATTTTCTAACAACGTTATGATGCATTTTATGTAAATTTTATGCTAAAACCCAAGATCTATAATTTTTACTTTCTTTTGGTAAAAAACTCGTAAATTTATCAAATTCGTAAATTATTGTAATACATTAGTATATATAACAGTTTAGCCAGAAGTAATTTACTTTCTTTTCCCATATCAACATAAGTCTGAGTTTTTCATACAATATAGAGTGGTACAGGTAATTCATATAGGTAAATATCCATATAACAAACCATGAGAGAATGGTACATGTATGTTATGGAATACAAATTGGCCTCTATTTGTAACAATACTAGTTTCATTCTTATCTATCAACATAAAAAATTCCATATATTGTATGTGAACGATTAATTTAAATGGACATAGACCATGTTGAGTCTAGTTTCATATAAATCATTCTCTGTTTCATCAATAAAAGTTCAATCCACAAAGATGAAAAACATTAAAAGTCAATATTGCATATTATTAAAAAGTTTTCTTTGTTTGTTTGTTTCATTTTACGCCTTTTCCCAACAGTATTTTAAGTTATATAGGCGGGTAGTTTCCTAACCATCGTTCCTGGAGAGTTATACCAGTACTAGACCACCTTCCTCCGTGCTATTAAACTACCAAAGCATCTATCTGGGATTGAACCCATGCCAGAGAGGTAACTGGATTAGAAGTCATCAACTCTATAACCCCTCGACCACGGAGGCAAAGATTTAACAGGCAAAGATGCAATATAGAAATATATTCCCCAACCCCATTTAGGAGATCACTCAGGCTGCCAGGTCCCTCATTTTATAGTATTTATCAAATATTTGTGTAGTAATTCATTGTGCCTTATTCTGTTTTTCTGGATTTTTGTTTCTGTTATATACATTTATCAGTGAAACCATAAAATTACCTGACCAGAAACACCCAGTTTGTATATACAAATCTGTCAGGTTTGAAGGAGTAATAGTTTCAGCGTTCAATGAAATATCGTAAAACTTCAACGGGCTTATAGAAAACGATAATACAGTATTACTTCCAACCTTCAAAATGTCCGCTGATTTTTCTTTATTAACCTTACAATTTACTTATATTTAAAACAAACGTGAAAATTGCTTCCTGTAAAATAAGGTTTCCGAAACCACAGTTTAAGATTTGCATATAATTATAATGAAAATTTTAAATGCAAATTAGATATAATACAGGTGCTTATAATTATAAATGATGTCATTGTGAATTCAGACATTGCACAAAATTCACTCTCTGCTATCACAATGCAGAATTATGTAAATTTAGGTAATAAATTATGGAAAGAAACTGTACATTTTAATTTACAATCCTTTTATTCTATTTTTGATACCTTACAATGTGAAGTTTACTAATGATCATATACAATTAATCATACAATACAGTACTGGACACGCGAAACCCGCACAATTCGCGTATTCGCGGCGAACTCTCATGCTTTATAACGCGAGCGAATTCGCGGCAACTTGAGACAATCGCCGCGAATTCAACTCGCGGCGATTTTGCCGTGAACATTTGCCGCGATTCGCGGGGAATAATACATGTTCATTTGTATAATAAATGTAGATCTATTTATAAGTGTAGTCTGTGAACTTGAAACCAGATATACATGTACAAGTACGAAAATTAATTAGTAGATCTACATGAAGTTGTATCAAGAAAATCTTGTAATTTGCTAAAATGCCCTTTCTCTATTTATCTTTGATGCCAACAGCAAATATAAATAACCACGGCGAAATCAAATAACACCGTTAAAAACTTTCCGTGAATGGCGGAATCATGACCTCAATGTATAAATGCGACGCAATACACGCAGTACAAGTATGCGGCGGGGGGGGGTACATATTGAGTTTAAAGTAGAGATATAAATATAATATATGTGTAAAAAGATATTTAGTTACATAAAAAGATACATAATTGATACGACATTAACTTGTTCATTTCTAAATGTAGTGGATCACCGGGACATTTCGTTCTCTCGGGTGATCATTACTCAATTTATTACACGTTTGTAAAAAATAACACACGCAAGATTTGTCTGCTATAATTTCTGAATGGCGGATATTTGCACCCCTGTTTTAAAAATGTTAAAATATTTAATTGTTAGTTACCGAAAATTATCGCCGATTGTTGAAATTCCATAGCGCTAAAAGACACAAAAACACTCGCGCAAAAAGAAGCATCCATAAATAAAAGGAATATAATGTTTCATTGTTAAATAATAAATACAAAATTTACACACGAAATGACCTCTGACAAATGACTGGTCGGCTCTTCTGAAGAATCTGTGAATCTTTGATGTTTACACACCCGTAGTTGTTGCCGAATCATCAAAGAAATGCCGACACTCGATTGACTTTCACCTCTTTTTTTATATATCAGAAAAAAAACTGTCATTTCTTTTTGTCAAGGAATGATTACACATGTTTAATTATTGCTCAAGTAAAAAAAATGTTGGATATTGATTGTGTCAATTGTTGACATATTATTAATCGTAAGTGCATTTTGATTGTGATATTTTATTTACATTTTAATGATCTTGAAGATATTGTGCAATACTTGTGTCTGCTATCAAAACAATAATGCATATGAAAGGATATTTTTTTCGGTCAATTTTATGACCACGCTTCTACCAGAAATGTTTTATTGCATGGGCTTATAGTATTTAATCAGTGTCGTCAGTCATAAACAAACGAACATGTACCCCAAAGCACATTAAAATTACCACATGGTAAACTAGTGACCATATAAATGCTTTACAAATATTCATTAATTTGAAAAAAAAATTTTAATCCCGTTTCCACACCTTAATTTGATACGTGCTATTATTAGTTAATTCAACTTAATTGCCGCGCGCATGCAGTACTGCGTGACGTAAGGTTATTATCCTTCCCTGGTTGGTCGCTATTTATGTAAATACTTTAAATAGTAAACACCCTAATTTTATGCACAGAATGCCCTCATGAATGATCACTCGTTACTTTACATATTAAATGTATGATTTAACTCCGATTTTATTTTTGTTTTCGAGGGAATTTTTGGGTCAAATGCCCTGGCTGATTTGGCGGGAATAAAAAAAAATCTGATTTGCATCTTGCTACTCATCACCTACTCATGCACCTGGCATTTTTTACTCGTGAAATTGAAGGTAAAAGAATGTCAATTTAAAGTGATAAAACTTTTACAATTTTCAACAATCATAATTAGCGTATTAGACGTAATAATTAGTTACACCTGTGAATCGGTGCTAAATGTCGCTTTGCATTGTTCTAAAAATAGAATATGTGCGAAAGTAAACAATGGATTTTAATTACATTTGTATTATTATCAAAAATAACAATTGGACAATTTGTTATCGTGCGTTCTTTGATGTAGTACCAATTACCTTTTGTAATTTCAATCTCGTTTATTGTTTACAAATTATTTATTAATACAATTATTGCTGAAGATTCGCCGTAAATTACGGCGATACATCGCGGCGATTTTTCGTGACCCGCCACGAAATTCGGCGAACTTGCACGCGGCGATGTTTTACCGCGAAGTGTCCCGTCGCGACATAGACTACACTCGCGGCATAACGCGACTTTTGCGGGTTTCGCGTGTCCAGTACTGTATATATATATAACAATTACTTATTTAGGAAGAAAAGCCGCCTAACTAAACCTTCCTGTCTTTAACATTTCACCTTTATGACATAAACACGGCTAATTTATGCCATATACATTGCTAAGGGAGTGCAATCATTCTCTCTCTCTTTCATTCATTTGTTTGTTTGTTTATTCATTCATTCATTCATTTATTCATTATTTATTCATTCATTTTGTTTTTTGTTTGTTGGTTGGTTCAATCATCATTTGTTAGTTTATTTATTTATTAATTTATTTTGTTTGTATGATTGTTTGTTTATTCAATCATACATATATGTATGTTTGTTTGTTTATTTGTTCATTTTGCTTTATGTACATACAACTGCCAAAAAAAAATTTAACATGAGCCTATAGGAGTTGTCTCCCTTTTAATGTTAAGCATGCTTTATTTTAAGACAGGGCAAGTTTCCAAATGATAATCTTTTGTATAAATATAACAGTCTTTTTGATCGTATCTGCCAACTTGATATACAAAGCTTATTAAGAGCTATATAGTAAGTACAAACAGCAATTTATACCAACAAAAACAATGTGTCAGAAGTTAAGGATTTGATAAAGTTTTGTATAATTCTCAAATATAATAAACTCTATACATTTTTAATTTAACCTTGAACAGTTTCCAGTAACTTGTAGGAAGTATTTTATTTATATGTACTTAAATTTACATTTTTGTTTGTTATAATTAATGGCTGATCATAAGCACATATTTAGCACCAGTTTTTCAGCCAGTAACCAGTACTGGAAGGCAGGGTTACCTGAGTCAAGTACTGGTTCCTCCTGGTTAAATGAACACTTGAATTGTGTAATAGAACTAGACAATTATTTTTGCCAAATTTTTCGTTTATATAATGCAGAATCACCTTTGTATTCTGATAATTCATAAAAAAATCTTTAATCTTAATTCGTTATTTTTTGGAATAAATAATAATAAAAGTATACA